GGGTATATTTTATTTCCCCTGTAACACTGAACTGTTTGACTTGTCACAGGCGTTTTTCACTCTTGCAAGAGATATCAAAGCAAAAATGGACAAGAAGTTGGTGAGTAACTTATTTTGTCCATGCTGGATTTAAATAGAAAAATAAAAACACAACCAAAAGCCACATTGCAAGAACTTTTCACAGTGTATAAAAATTGTATCATGGTCTCTTTCATAAGGGATCACTGAAATGTTCTAGGAATGTAATTTTAGATCTGTCAAGCTGTGCTCTGACCTTGGCTTGTAAACAACTGTCTCTGCATTTCAGGAATTAGCTGAGGTTTTCTAAATAAAATGATTTATTTGTTTTATTAAAAGTCACATGGGGGTTAGAGCAGTTTAATGATACTTCTCACTCTTGCAGTCTGAAAATCATATAAATCATAAAGATAGAGGAGGCAGGGTAGAAGATTTAAACTGTTTCAGAATAGGTATAGAACTAATATTTTTGGATAATTTTTGCAAAAGCATCCTGAGCAATGACTGGGTTATCTTTTTACAACAAATAAATACATGTTGGTTTGTTCTTTATGAAATATGAAATGAAGCTGATGGGGGTTCCTTCTGCTGTCACTGAGCTTTCCACCCTCGTGTGTTCAGACATAAATTGATTGACCTGGGATGTTTTGGGGTTTGCTGACCATTCATAAGTGTTTCAGCAAGAGCCAGACATGCCCTTTAATTTATTATCTTTTAATCTCAGCTGTCTTTGAGTTAATATAAAGAAGAAACATAGATGCAGTGTGAGCTATTAAAGCCAAAAGCTGCAGATGCAGTTCTAGAAATTTTTGTCATGCCTGGTTTAAGACTGAGAAATGAGTGAAGCCTCCTGTTGGTTTTAGGGAAGGTTTTTGGTACGTCAGGCTTGGCTCAAGAGAATGACCAGATGAAATACGGATGGGAGAAGCTGTGAAGTGTAAATGAGTAACTGAATATTCTTTGCCTCTTCAGGAAGGCAATAGCCCACAAGGCAGCAACCAGGGAGTCAAAATCACACCAGACCAGCAAAAGAAAAGCAGCTTTTTCCGATGTGTTCTTCTGTGAGGGACACGGCCTTAACCTGAGCTGGACTGTGCCTGTGCTGAGTGAGGTTTCCTCTGCCTGTGGACTTAGTGCTCCCAACAAACCTTGTCTGGTCACAACAAACTCTGTGACCATCTGAATAAGAAATGGTTTATTTTGGTAATTGTTTGACTCTTCAATTTTGGAGATGAAACAGGTTTATTTTTGTCAGATCGCCGCTGGGCGCGTGTGCTGTGTAGCAGAGGGGGAACAGATCTCACGTGACCCGGGGATGCAGCACCTTTGCTGACAGACTTCAACTCTCATGTATCCAGTGGAGAAGGATGAAGTTATGATCAAAACAAGGCCCAGAAATGCCCATGTGAATAAAGTCCGGGTGTGTGTACATGGTACATGTGCATATCCAGTCTGGAGCTGCACACGGAACGGTGGCATCAGACCATCCCAGAAATGCCCCCAGGGGAGCAGTGCAGGCTGGGGCTTTCTCAGGAGGTAGGAGGGAGCTTTCTGCACCTCCACCTCTTTGCTACTGCAGAGAAGCTCCTTTGCCTGTCACTTACTCAGTTGTGTTACTCTTGACAATCCACAAGTACAATTGACGTTTAAAAAAAATTCTCCTCGAAGGAATCTCTATTTTTTTAAAAAGCCAAAGTGTGCTGTAAATATAATGGATCCTTACCATCAGGAATTTATCCATGTTAGACTTGACTGCTTAATTAAGTGCTCCAGATGTTTAGATGTGTTTGACAGGAGCTGATGGTTGCAGCAAGTCCTGGGCACGTGATCTGTCATCTGTTCTTGGAGAACCAGTCAGGATCAGGCAGGGACACTTACACCAAATTTGTCACCTTACAATGGGCAACTTTTCCACTCTCCAGCTGGGAGTGACCCCAGATCTGTCATGAAGTAGTAACTAGTTTTAAATGGTGACCAGGAACTGCTGCACTGCTCCCCGTGGTGTGTTCCCAGGCACACTTGCTCACATATGCACAGAAATGCTGCACATCCCCTTTCTGAACACAGACTCTTTCCGACTGACCTTGCCTTGCTGGGTGTCCCACTGCAGATGTCAGGTAGCAACAACCTGTGGCACTGCAAACGACACCAGTCCTCCCAGAAACAGGCTGGGAACTCATTCCCACAAACCCATCCGTGACATGGCCATGTGTGAAACGCAGGAGCCAAGTTCAGCCCCTGCCAGGTCGGGGGCTGCAGCTCTGATCTCAATTCTTCTGACTGAAGGAGCCAGTGAGAGCTTCTGCTTCTGAGTCTGCTGGGCCAGGTATTGCAGGGATGGTGGGTTTGATCCCAGAGAACTCCCAGCTGTGCCCTGCAGCTCACTGGGACTGTAACATGCTTCGTTTACATTGACAACTGCACTTAAGGGTAGAATTGAAGTTGATTTTAAAGTTGTTGAATTTACTCACCGGTTTTGTTTTCTTCCAAGTTTGTGGTGGTAATCTCTGGCCTCAGAGTAGCACTGGTAAGTGTTACTGTAGTTAAAGATCTATCATAGTTACAGATCTGTTCATAATTAACATTATAAATCTGCAGCCTGCAGCTGGGTTCAACAGGAATACTGCCTGTTCCTCTGAAATGGAAAAAGGATATTTCACTGTGTACGTTACTGGTTTATAAAAATGCATTTTAGATTCTACCAACCTTTTTTTAATAGCAGATTACAACAAGCTCTGTCATGATTAAAGCTTTCCTCTAACCAGAACCTTATGAGGGTTTGGTTTTTTTGTTTACTTGTGGCTTTTTAGCAGCAGGACTTGGTGATTGTGCACCGTAGTGGATTTACACACAGATGTATTTGTAGGATAAAATCACTGAAGAGGCTTCCAGACACTGTGGTTCAGAGTGTAGATAACCCAGAGCTGTAGCTTGGACCACCAGCATCTCTGTCTTGAGATAAGGATGGTTTTAAAGAGAGAGTTTGTGCTTCAAGAAATGATTGAGGCAGAGCTGGGGAGGTGATAAGGCATGGGCTGAGTGCTGTTTTCCTACCCAAAACTGATCAGTGTAATGATTTGCTTCTGGCTCAGCAGTAGCCGTGGATTGTCTCACATCCATATTCTGCTTTATACAGCCAGATGTTGAGCCAGACTTATTTTTCAAGGTGACTGGAAAAATAAGTGGTTTATCTAACTTGACACCACAGGTCTGCCTGTGGACAGTATCAATAACTCATCTCGAGCTGGGGAAAGCAAACCGTGTTCATTTACAAGTGGGTAAAACTTGAAGGATGGAATTGTGATTTTTCACTCATTTTCTAAATCTCAAGTTACTCTTTTGCATTCAGAACTCTTTGTGAATACCTTCTGTTTGAACTTATGCTGGTTGTTGCACATGTTTATGTACCTGATTGGAGCATGATTTCCTTTGAAATGGTTGGTTTTACTCAATGAACAAGTACATTATTGCCTGATCTCAGGAAGTTTCATGCAGTTACTGTGACTACAGCCATCAATATCCTTCTGGGTATGCAGGCTCTACCCAGGCATTAAGTCTGGGTAAGCAATATGAAGCCTAAAATGCAAATGTAAGAGAGGAAAAGGTTAAAGACACTGCACTGCACCTGTGCTTGGCTCTGTGTCACTAAACACGGGCATCAAATCTTGGAGAAGTACAATATCTAGTTGATGTTTCCATCACATCATTCAGTTACTGTGTTTATTAAGTATGAGTGTTATGGAAAACACAATTATCAGAGAGGTACTGGGGAAATACATACAGTAATGTATCTAAGATTTCTTTACCTAAGGAGGAAAAAATCTGAAATTGGGTACAAAATCTGTAAAACTGAGGGATTTAGTTAGATCTGCAAAACCAACTGTGCACACTACACATTCTCAGTGTCTGAATACCATTAAAATGTCAGGTAATGGATTAACAATTGGTTTGCAGAGAAACAAGCCCATTTTTGAGCACGTTCTCAAATTCCCTTACTTTAATGAGTATCATGGAATTCTGTGGTTGCCCTTATTTTCGAGGCTGGTTGCAATATTTGGGATGGTCCTCACCCTTTTGGGTGCAGAGCTGTCAGTGGGTCAATAACTGGTGGAACTGCTGTTCTAACACTGATTTAACACCCATGTTGTGTGTGTCCTGTGCTGATGGGCACAGCTCATGTTCCCTGACATCAGAGCCTTATGCCAGCATCAGAATTCCAGCCTCAGATTTATAAATCCTATGGATTATTGTAAGTCTCTTTACTGCTGCTGAAAATTCTTTGGTCTCTCCTTTCCTGTGAGATGCTGATCATCTCCCTGATGGTTGCTGAGGGGTTGTTGGGGGGGTGTCTCTGGCTCAAAACTGCCCTGATTTTGTGTTCTCTTGGACTTGTTTGTGCCAGGGGGGGAAGGAACAAACTGTGTGAGGATGGGCTCCTTTGTTCTAGAAGTTAAAGGGCTGAGGGAAGAATGATGACTTGTGTCTTCAGTTCTAGTTTAACTAAAGATCTGCTCAGTGGAATGTGAATGGGAGCTGCAGTCTGAGTGTTCCAAGCTGCCTCATTCCCTGGCCCATCTCTCACTGATCCCTGGAGTTTCTGTGGTTGATAAAAGTTTAGCAGCTGGAAAGAGCAGCTTTCCAGCCTTTCTGCAGGAACCGTGTGCTCTGCCTGGAGCGTGACTTGGGACTTAGGACTTCGTTTTGAAGGGAACTTAATGCATCCCAAAATCTGTAAAAAGAACTGTAAATTGTGTTTTTAGAGTGACCACTTTTGGCTGCCACCCTTCCCACGTTACAACTGCTTTCTTAAACACTTCTCATTGATTTTCATGTTTGTATCAAAACTGTTGTTTATTACAGGATGTCTGTTTTTACTCTGTTGTACAGGACCCTGAGCACTGCATAAATAAACTTCTTATGAAAAGAGAATTTTACAAACTTAGTTTGTCAGTTCTGTTTGTCATTTGTGCATATGGAGTCTGGTGTGGATTTCTGAAATTAGAGAAGAGGGACAGAATTTGGGGAAGGGTTTCTTGTCCTCAAAGTATGCTTTCTCATTATAAATCCTGCACTCTGGAGAATACTTCTGCAAATTGATTCATTGGAGCATTTATTAAGACTCTAAATGATCAGAGGAGTTGCTTACACAGTTTTGATTAATCACAGTGTTTTGGAAACTATTCTCAAGTGGGTTTTTTCCTGGTTAAGGCATTTTCTTGGGAATTTTTCGAAGCTATACAAGCTCCTTTACTACCTGGTGGTATCTGAACTTTAAAAGAACACTTCCCATCTCACTGTCCAGGCCAGGTTTGCTCTAACTGAGGGGGGAATAGACATTTTGTTAAATTCCAGGGAAATCTTGATGCAGAGCTTAATTAAATGATCCTTTAAGAGAGGTAAACAAGAACAGTTTTCTGACTGGTTCAGTTACCACAAGTTGTCCTCTTTGCCCCTCTGATTTTGTGCTCTTATGCTTGGTAATCTTGGGTGAAGTGATAGTATTTTAAGGTTCCAGAGGTGCTTCCATCCATGTGTTTCACTGGATTCAGATCCTAATGTGAAATGTGCTGTTAACAAGAGGAAGCCACGATCACTTATGTGTCACCATGCAAAGGATTAACTCAATTAATTCTAGGGCTGTACTATAATTGGAAACTTCATTTCATGAAGCACTTGCAAGGACTGGGTACATTAAATAAATGCAAGATTTGAGTGCTGCTTTGTGTGAGATGTGAATCAGAACCACATTAACACCATGTCAGGCACTGAGTGAGCAAATCTCATGGACCTACCAGTGCAGCCTGAGTGCTGATATTAACTTTTTAAGTTACAAGGACTTTTTGTCATATAAAAAGTACATCTGGAGGTTCAAAAGCAAGTCAAGGAGCCTCCAGGCTTTTTTCAAGCATCTCTTTTCCCAGTCTTTGCAGCTCTACTAGAACCTGCCAGGGAAGAGTGGTTATCTATGAGGGCTGAGGAGACATAAAATAGACACTTCAGAGGCTTTTGACAGAGAAACTAAGAGCAATTTTGTGTCAGAAATGAAAAGCAAATATTACCTGAGGAAATCTGGGGCTCGTATGATCATGTGCTGAAAGTCTTCCAAGGACAGTTTGCCATCATTGTCCACATCAGCCTCGTAAATCACCTTCTCACAGACAAGGCTGACTTCTTCTGGGGTCAGCTCATTTCGGGTTAATTTGTTAACAGTTTTCTCCAGGTCTGATTTGCATATGTAATCATCGTTGTTAAAATCTGACAAAGGAGACAAAAATTAATTTGAAGTGACAGAATTTCAACATTTTACGTGGTTGGCTGCCAAGACCCAACAGGAGGGTTTGGTTCCCAGGATGTGATGGATTTCTATCAGTAGAACTCAAATCAGAAAGGAAGTTATCTCTGTGTGCTTGTAAAAAAATCAGTTACAAAATAAAAGTCTAATCATTTCTCCTTATCATATATAAGAGTAACAACTGTAAATAGTTTAGTGGCTAAACATAGTGTAGCCATAATTAAATCATTCCAGCAAGATTTTGTTCCTTTGATATATGGTTTGTCTTTAGCTGATCATAAAGAAAATAACTGAAAATAGTCCCTTAAAAAAATTAAATCTTTAAGTTTGTCCTTGGAGAAAAAAAGCCTGCACTGTTCTTCCCTGCCTCCCCCTCCCAAATCCACCCTACAGATTTATGGGCAGCCAAATCCCTTGTGCTGCACTTTTCCAAGCAGCTCTTCAGACAGAAATATTTCTTAAATGTTTATCAGCTCTTGAAAACCACAGATAATTTCAGGCTGTAAATTTTGTAGTAAATCCTGATCCCAAGTAAATAAGAGAGACAAAAGGATGAAGAAAACCAAAAGTTTTTAGTAGAGAGAGAACAAACACTGAGATGGAATTAAAAGAAATGCTAACTAGAAATCATTATAATGAAGATTTTTGCATCCCTGCACAAAGCTGCAGGATTTCCCCAACTTTTTGTGCATGTCTCACTCACCATAAATTTTAAAAGCATAATAAGCTTTCAAGTCTCTGGGAGCCATTTCACTTAGCACTGAAAACATGTCCAGAAAATTATCCAAAGTCATGTTGCCGTCCCCGTGCTCCGAGAACACCTCTGCAATCCGCTGCCGGAACGGGTTGTCCTGGGAAACAGAGGAGCAAGGGAAGGTCACCCCTCCCAGCATTGATTTCAGTGCAGATAAGGCAGCTGGAGCGAGATTGTTTTTGTTGAAACCTCTTTTTGGCAAATTCCCCCCTTTCTGCCATTCTGTTCGTGTCAGAGGCAGCCGCAGCTGCAGCCGCTTTAAACTTTGTGCGGCTTCAGGGGGTTTTCTGGGAATCACTGGAAGCTTCCAGAAAGACTTCTGCCGTCAATAACCCAAATTTATTTGTATGTCAGGCTCCCAGCAATTAGTCCTGGATGAATTATTAAAATAGGGCAGCTTAAACTGCAGTGTGTCACTCGAGTCGTGTGCCTGGCTCGTACCTTGAGCTCTGGCATGCTGGCAATGAGCTGGTAGGGCAGTGTCACAGCTGGTTTGTCTGTGTAGTCGAGGGGAACCAGCTGAGGGGCCAGATCTCGGTACCTGTGAAACAGCCTGAGGCAGAAAGAAAGGCTTGTTTGGTGAATGAGTCCTTTAGACCTCTGAGAACAAGGTGTTTGCTTCTTCCACCTCACTTTTCACTCTTTTCCTCCATTACCAGATGGAGATCGGTCACTAAGTAACATATATGTTATATATATATTATATATCACAGAATATTCTGAGCTGGAAGGGACCCACGAGGATCAGGGAGTCCATCTCTTTATATATAACAAGTATATCTATAATATATCACAGAATCATTATGTTGGTGGTGGAAGAACCAGTATTAAGAGCAACACGGTGTAACTGGTGAAAAATACAAAGCTTCACTATAGAACAATGAGGTGAAAATGTTTACACAGCTCATGCAGCCAAACCCCCTCACACCGTGCATCCAAAGCCACATTTAACAGTGTCAGGTTTATTCTACAGAGGTGTTCAGGCATGTGGAGTCACTGGGAGGTGTGTTCATGATAACAAGGCACAAGACCTTCAACCTGAAGGTCCACCTGATTTGTTTCCAAACACACAAACGCTGGTGGCAAGGCAGAAGGGATCTGTTTGCATGGTGTGGCCAAAAAACAACGGGCTGAAACTGGAGCTTGAAAAATTCGGTTTAAACATCAGAATAAAACCTAAAGTCATGGGCAGGGAGAGAGATCTGGGATCCACCCTAACAGGATTTTACCCATCCAAAGCATCTTCCTGTTTTTTCCACAGAACTCGGGTTCAAGAGACAGAAAATGTGCATCAGGGTTGGAATTTATTGACCACTTTTTCAGCGTGTCTTTGCTTCCTTCTTGTGCTAGAGAAAGGATCCCATTCACAGCTGTTACCAACAAAACAATAGGAGAGAATTTTAAAAGGGATCCTTATCAATAATTAATGTCTTAATTCATGACATAGTTATGGTTCTGGCCTCTGTTTCCTGTGGGGAAAGGAGGCAGGTACAGATTCCAGTTTTTACAGAACCATTCCTGTTTTATCCTGTCTAAAATCCATATGCAGATGTCAGGGTTCCAAAGTTCTGTACAAAACTGTCCCCTGTGCTCTGCCCTTCAGAGAAACTGCCAAAAAACCACGTGTGGTGGCATCTTGAGAGCAGAGAAATGGAACAATTCCCTTTCTGTTCACACACCCAAGGGTCAGGGAGGGCAAACAGAGCTTCAGTATTGTGTATGTTACTGTCTGGGTGAGTATTTCTTACAAGAGGAGAAGTAGTTCAGCTTTTCAGTGAAGACTCTCAGTCCCACTCCTGATCTTGTCTTTATCAGAACCCTTGGCCAGGGATTAAATGGAGAGTTCAGTGAGGCACATGAAGGGGGAAAATGCACTTTGAAGCAGCAGTGTAATTATTTATAAGCAGACATGAAGAAAACTTGACACAATCATTAAGGATTTATAAAAATCAGGCCAAGTATTCCAAAGGATAACAGTATATTTTGAAGCATCTGTCATAAAACAATGTGAAATGTGGATGTTGCTGGCAAAGTATCCACTAAATATAACTTGTTACATTTATTTCTGATAAATAAAGGGTACATAAATACAAAATTTAGAATTCTGTCTCAGTTTAGGGTAGATAACACAGAGTTTGTACATTAAAAAAAAAAAAAATACTAAGATTGCCCAAAGGTATCACTTTAAAAACAATTTTAAAATAGATTTAGGCAAATTTAAAATATCTCACCCTACATGTAGCCTGCCTTTATAGCAATCTATGTGCTTTACCCACAAAATGCACACAGAATACTCACCTCAGGATTTCTTTCCTTGTGAAAAATGTGCAGTCCTGTGAAACAAGAAAAGATACAACATGTAATGAGTTTTAAGCATGCATTGGCCCAAACTTTTCCTGTACAGTGACTTAGATGAAGTTATATTGTAAAATACCTAACTAAGCATTAAAGCTCTCTTTTTGGCATATAATGAGAAGTATTTCATAACTGTTCTTCTTGAGGTAAAAATGAAACTATATTACTAAAATCTGTGGTGTAATTCAGTACTTCTACTTATTAATTTTTAAAAGAGATTGTTTAAAAAAAAAAACACCTTTACCATTATTCAGCATTGTGTTCAAACAGCCATTTAGTTTGGTTTATACCTGATATGCATCCAGTTGCTCTTGAGTGAAAATGGTTTGCTTATTGCCCATTTCCAGCTGGGAATGTCGACTTTTTTCCCATCCTTCTTTCCTCAAAGGCACCTTTATAGGTCGTCTGGATATTCAGTTATTAAAAGCTGCAACAATGAGGTTCAGGTACAGCAGAGGATCAGGTAACCAACTTCCACAGGCTGCAAAGTATCAGAACAGGAGCATTTCATCAAATCTTTAGTCTGGCTGCTTGAGGCTCTTATCCAGCAGCACTCACCTGTCTCCTGTGAGCACCACAAAGACTCGGGTTACAGCATTTAGCAAAACAACTAATAGCTGCTCATTAGTGCCTTTGAGCAGCAGGTATTCTTGTATCCTGCTTTTTCATGCCTTCAGATACGGCAAATTAACTGAAAAGTGTTAGCAGTATTTTCCTTCTTTAAGAATTAACACCGAATGCTGGTGATTTGGGAACCACTCCTTCTTTTCCTTCTCATTCTTCATAGAATAATTAAGGTTGGAAAAGCCCTCTAAGATCAGAGTCCAACCACGAACCCAGCACTGCCAAGGTTACCACTAACCCATGTCCCCAAGTGCCACAGCCAAGTTTTATGGACACTTCCAGGGATGGTGACTCCACCAGTGCCCCGGGCAGCCTGTGCTGGTGTTTTCCCTTTGTGCACGTTGTGTACTAATGGTATTTTGTACTGGAGGTAGTATCCATAAATTATTTACACACAGAAGTTCAGAGTTAGTCCCTTTCCAAGTACAGCCCCTCTATTATTAGGATTATTTAGTAATTTCCATAGAAATTACGTAACCCCAGTGAACTTCTCCACATTCTCGAAGGATGGGTCTGCACCTGGGCAGGGTCTTTTTGACCTGTAAGCGTGATTTTAATATTATAACAAAGATAGTTCAGCTCTAGGATACACAGACCTGAAGTCTTTTGCCAAGTTAGCCATGTGTTCATAGACATACATCACCATCTTGATTTACTACATCCTTAAATCTTGTTAGTTCCCAGATGTCCTTGACTAGTGGATGCTCCTGCTGCCCGTTGCACTCATTAGGTCTCCTCCCCTGCTGATCAGGCTTAAAAGTACATAAAGAGCGTACACCAAAAAACATCCTGACTTTAAGAGAATCTTGACATATTCCACAGATTGCGACAGTCTCGCCCCGGTTCCCCTCACGGAGGGTCGGACGAGGCTCATTCTATCCCGGTTTCCCTCACTGAGAGGGCGGATAGGGCTCGTTCCCAGTTCCCCTCACGGAGGGAGCGCACGGGGCTCGTTCCCCGTTCCCGGTTCCCCTCACGGAGGGGCAGAAGGGGCTTATTCCCGGTTCCCCTCAGGGAGGGAGCTCACAGGGCTCGTTGTCCGTTGTCGGTTCCCTTCACGGAGGGAGCGCACGGGGCTCGTTCCCCGTTCTCCTCACGAAGGGAGCGCACGGGGCTCGTTCCCCGTTCCCCTCACAAAGGGAGCGCACGGGGCTCGTTCCCCGTTCCCCTCACGGAGGGGCAGAATGGGCTTATTCTCTCACGGAGGGAGCTCACGGCGCTCGTTGCCCCTTGTCGGTTCCCCTCACGGAGGGAGTGCACGGGGCCCTTTCCCCGTTCCCCTCACGGAGGGAGTGCACGGGGCTCGTTCCACATTCCCCTCATGAAAGGAGCGCTCGGGGCTCGTTCCCCGTTCCCTTCACGGAAGGAGTGCACGGGGCCCGTTCCCCGTTCCCCTCACGGAGGGAGTGCACGGGGCTCGTTCCACATTCCCCTCATGAAAGGAGCGCTCGGGGCTCGTTGCCCGTTCCCTTCACGGCGGGAGCGCACAGGGCTCGTTGCCCGTTCCCCTCACGGAGGGAGCGCACGGGGCTCGTTGCCCGTTCCACGGAGGGAGCGCACGGGACTCGTTGCCCGTTCCCCTCTCCCCGGCCGCGCCGTTGCGGCGGTGCCGGCAGAGGGCGCGGGCGCGGCCGTTCGGCCATGGCGGATTACGAGGCGGTGCAGCGCGGGCCGCTGAAGCTGAAGGGCAGCGGGGGGG